TATAAATTTTATTAGTCTTTTCAAAAATCCTGATTCTAGATTTTCTTGTTGTTTTTCAGTCTTCCTATGTATTGACGTCTACTTCCATTTTTATCATTTCCTTTCCTCTAAATACTTTGGGTTTAATGTCTTCGTTTTTAGCCCATTTGTTTCAAGGTGGAAACTCAGAGGATTGATTTGAGGGCTTTTTTCCATTCATTGCAGAAGCATTTACCTTCACCTCCTGGAGAATGATATAATCATGGGGACATTTCCTCCCAAGGTAAAGTTTGCTCTTTATCCAATTTCTCAGGATAAAAGACAGCTTCAGCCTTCCAAGGATTGTAAGCAAGGAGGTTTTATGGGGAGTTTATGAAGATGCTGCTGGAGTTTGTCATAAGAAACAGGAATAAAATGCATCCTGAAAAAGATGGTGATTTTTATGTCTCAAGAAAACATCCCTGGGCCAGGCACGGTGGCTTACGCCTGTAATCCTAGCACTTTGGGAGGCCAAGGTGGGTGGATCACCTGAGGTCAGGAGTTCAAGACCAGCCTGGCCATCATGGTGAAACCCCATCTTTAAAATAAATAAATAAGTAAGTAATTAAAGAAAAAGAAAGAAAACATCCCTAAGATGTGAAGACAAAGTGTATGAAAGCTCTCCCATCAGCTGGAGAGGACAGAGTGAGGGGTGGGGAGACAGAAAGCAAAGGCGGGGAAGAACAAAGGTGGGGAATCTAGAGGCTTAAAAGCTATCTAGAGATTGAAGTCTTGCAGGGTGGAAGAAGGGCACTCGAGCCTGGGTGACACAGCGAGATTCCATCTCAAAAAAACAAAACCAAAAAAAACTAATGTTCTTAACCACTGCAGTAGAAATCTTTTCAAAATGCGCCACATTGTATGGCTTTGAGATGTGGCGTCTTCAGTGTGTTACTGTATTGATAAAGAAAGCAGCGTTTAGGCTAGGCACAGCAGCTCACACCTGTAGTCCCAGCACTTTGGGAGACTAAGACAGGAGGATCACTGGAACCCAGGTGTTCAAGACCAGCCTGGCCAACATAGTGAGACCTGGCCTCTACAAAACATGTTTTTAATTAACCAGGTGCGATGGTGCATGCCTGTAGTTCCAGCACTTTGGGAGGTAAAGGTGGGAGAATCACTTGAGGTCAGGTGTTCAAAACCAGCCTGAACAACATAGACCACTCTCTCCCCAACATTTCTACTCAAAATTTAAAAAGTTAGTTGGATGCAGTTACATGAGCCCTTAGTCCCAGTTATTCAGGAGGCTGAGGCAAGAGGATCGCTTGAGCTCACAAGGTCGAAGCTGCAGTGAGCCATGATTGCGCCACTGCCCTCCAGCCTGAATGACAGAACAAGACCTCATCTCAAATACATAAATAAATAAATTGAAATAAAATAAAAATAATTTTTTGAAAAGAATGCAGCACATAGTAGTTTGGGAATCAGACTAATTTAGAGCCAGTTTCAAGATCTGCCCAATCTAAAGACTAGGACTTCTATTTCCTTTTTTTTTTTTTTTAATTTGTTTTCCCAGCTTTTTGTTTTGAAAACTTTTAAGCCATCAGAACCGTTGTAAGAAAAGTTCAACGAACAGCCAGAGATCAGAGATTGGTCAACTTCAGCCCACAGCCTGGTTCTGTATGAGCTAAGAATGGTTTTTAACTTTTGTAAATGGTTGGAAAATAAATTTAAAAAGAATTTTTCATAGCACACGAAAATTATATGAAACTCAAACACCACTGTCCGTGACATTAAGCCACTTGTGTAAGTACTGTCTGTGTTTACTTTTGCTTTGTTTTGGAGTTCAATAGTTAGAGTTGAATAATTGCCACAGAGATCCTGGATCTCACGGCCCAAAATACTTAACAATTGGCCCTTTACAGAAAAAGACTGGAGACTCCTGACCCCCATTTACCAATTGTTAATATGCTGCCTCATTTGCTTTCTTTCTCTCTGGCTGGAACGTCTGTGTTCACCCCTAAGTATTTCAGTGCCTATTTCAGTTTCTTAAACTGCAAGTTGGAAATGATAGCTTAGTGTGGGAAGAGGTAAGATAACATACAATGTTTAGCACACAGTGCTTGGCATGTAGACAGAACTTAATAAACGATCCAAAAAAAATTCCTGGCATTGAGCATAGAGGTGGTTGCCAGAATCCCTAACTTGAAAATCCGGAGCCCGCTGCTTTCCTGAAACCCCGGTTCCCGAAGTCTGGAAGCCAGCTTTTACTCTGAAAGGGTTTCTTTCCCAGGGAGTAGCAAAAGCCTTGGAGAAACCTCATTCTTTCCACAGCTCGTGGCTTCGCTGACTCAACCTCTGCCTGCCCCTGAGTCACAAGTTTTTCCTCTCTTATTTGGAGGAGCAAGGCCCTCCACCCTCCACCCAGCTGTCCCCATGCACAGCCAGCACTGCTGGGAAGTGGGTGGACAGCTGGGAGACCAGTGTGTGCTGCCTCCAGGGGTTTCTCAGAGCACCACTCACATCCAAAGCTGGAAAGAAGGACAGATGAGGAGACCGAGGTCCAAGTGGACCCTGGACCACCAGCAGAACAAGGCTAGGAGGGTTCTCCTGATTGGAGGACCAACACATGTGCATCCTCCCTCTAGTTCCCCAGTCATGAAAAGGCTTCCCTCTCCCAAGGCCTCCTCTGTACAGGCATGGTATTAGATGCCAGCACACCGTCATAAACGAGACAGCCCTGCCTTCCCAGGGAACAGGCTCCCTTCTGAGTCTCACAGCCACCTCCACCATAGCCAGGGCCTACCCCCCAGGAGAAGCAGCCCCTTTCCGGGGAGGTGGTAGATCTGGCACTGAGCAGTCATGGTTCAGCTTGAAGTCCCCCTCCACCCGCTGGCGACAAGCAGTGTGCGTACACTCAAGGTGGCGTTTCCCAGCGTCCCAATGGCACCACTGACCCTCCTGGTTATGACTCAGCTTGGGGAATCTCAGATCTTGTGTATTTTGCTCTGTGGTGTGGCGGTCTGGCTGCCCCTTCAGAACTTGTAAACCCAAACGTATATTCAACTGGAGGTACGAAAGGGGATAAAGCATCCCAAGGGGGAAAGCAGAGGGAGTGTGGGGACCACTGTGGAGGGCAGAACACAGGGCCCCTCTAAAGAGGACCCACACTCTCAAACCTTCTGATTTAAGAGAAGCTGAAGATCCTAATTTTTATGTGAACTCTCCCCATATGTAATGTTCACAGCAATGCATTTTTAAAATGCACTTTGAAAGCAAACAGACATCATTCAGGTCTAGTGGGGTTCAGGGTTACTTACCAGGTGGCAGCTTCTGTTGAATCTCATAAATGCTGTCCTTGCCGATGAGGACAATGGTAGCAGGTGGGTGCTGTGAGGTGGTGGTGGGGAGGGGGCTCCCCAAGGCCACTGCTGGTGGCCCTTTCACTTGCCTGTCCCTTCCCTCTTCCTCCTTCCCTCCCTTGCTCCCTTTCCCTTCCCTTCTCAGCTGGGAGGGCCGGTCACCAGCACTGGGCCCACCTCACAGCCTCGCCCATACCCCCTCAGGAGAGCAGGCACCTCTTCTAGCTGCATTCCCATGGCCCTGCAGCCCATCAGCCCTCCTCCTGCTCTGCTCCCCTCCCACCCTGTCCTGGCCCAGCAGGCACTGCCCCGGCTTGAGCTAGCCCCTCTGGGGTGCCCAGGTGGGGTTCTATATGGCAAGACAACCTGCATCTATGGGACAGGCCCAGAGTGCCTTTCTTTATGCACTGCCCATTCTCAGCGCTCGGGCTGCAGGGGTGAATGAGAAGAAAGTCTTGTCTGAATGAGAAGAAATTAGCATCTGGCCCATGGGACTCACAGCCCGGGTGGGAGGCGAGCCACCAGCACGACTTGTTTATGAGCATTCCACAGAAGCCACAGCCTGGGAGGCAGCCCTGAACCTCCTCAGGAGAGGACTCCGGGTTGAGAGAGATGCTTTGCAAAGTCACAAACACAGGTGACTGTGGAGGGAGATGGGGTGGAGACAGGGAACCGCTTTGAGTGGCCAGGGCAGCCTCCCTGAAGAGGTGACAGTTTGAGGCCTGATGGAGAGAGAAGCAAAGGCTTGGGGCTTTGAGGAACAGGAAGAAGCCAGTTTGAGAGAATGTGTGCGGAGGAGGCCAGGAAGAGCCAGGGAGGCCTGGGGTGCTGAAGCCTGGGGATTTCCTTCTCAGCCGCACAGGAGGCTCCAGCGCCGTTGAGCCAGGGGTGACAGAACCTGCTGCTAGTGCTGGAGCTGCGTGCTGGGCACCGGGGTCCCCTGACTATTCTCTTTCCTTCAGTTTGAAATTTTCCACTATAAAAAATTTAAAATAGGCAAAGTGCGGTGACTCACTACTGAAACCCCAGCACTTAAGAAGGCCAAGCCGGAGGATCGCTTGAGCTCAGGAGTTCGAGACCAGCCTGGTAAACATAGTGAGACCCTCGTTTCTACAAAAATACAAAAAGTAGCCGGTCCTGGCGGGCTAATTCTCTTGGGGTCAGGATGATTTCTGTGCAGGCTGCAGTGAGCCGTCATCGCGCCACTTCACTCCAGCCTGGGCAACACAGGGAGATCCGGTCTCAAAAAAAAAGTTTATAAAGTTCTGCCGTATTTTCATATTACGACCGCTGGGGGTGACTGTGTTGTGAGGCCCTCCGGAGGCACCAGAAGGCACAAGCCTCCCACCGCCCCCTTCCCGGCCGAGGCCCGCAGGTCTCTCAGTCGCCGGCGCCCCCACCCCAGCCCCGCCCAGGGCCAGGCTCGCAGTCCCAGCGGGTGACAGAAGGCAGCGGGCGGAAAGGGAAGCGGGGCGGGGCCGGGGGGGGCCAAACACAGGCGCCAGCCCCGCCCAGTCCCGGACCCGCAGCACGCACCAGCCCGGGCGCCCTCCGGGAGGCAAGCCCAGTCCCCGCCCCTCCCACTCCCCGGGCTCCGATTGGCCTAACCGCCGCAGGGGCGTGCCCGGCGGGAAGTGGGCGGGGATCTGAGTGGCGCCGGGTGGCCAAGGGCGGGCGGGAGGCGGCGGCCGTGCGGATTCGCGGGGTGGCTTCGGGGATCCGGGCGCGGGCCCGGCGCAGCAGGTGAGTTCTCCACCGTCCTCTGGCCGGGCTGCGGGGCGCGGGGCGGGCCCAGGAGGCGAGTCCCCCCATCCTCATCCCCGGGGCAGGCGAGCCCCCTCCAGCCGCACCATCTGGGTGGCTCCCAGGCGGGCGGGGCGCGGCGCGGCGGAGGGCCGGAGAAGAAGCCGGGGAAGGGCGCTCCTCACCGGCTTGCGGGGTGGGCGCGGCAGGGAGCCTGGGGAGAGTGAGGGAGAGAGGGCAGGGGCCAGAGGGGCCGAGGCGGAGTCCCCGTGGAAACGCGCAGGTGTAAGCTGGCGGGGGTGAGGGGTTCGCGGACCGCCCGGGGCTGCAGGGGTCTCAGCAAGCCCGGTTGCCGGTGGTGTTTCCAGGAGTTGTGGTTTCGTGCAGCCGCCAGGCCTCTCTTCTGGGTCCCAGTCTGCAGTCTGGAAGCCTGGGTGGGACCGCTGTCCTCCTGGGCAGGGAGGTGTTGTGAGTGGATCAACACTTTCGGGGCGCGCGGAGGGCGGGTGTTGGGGTCTCAGTTCCTCTGGAGCAGTTGAGTTTGTGACTCTTGGTGGGAGCTGTCAAGGGAAAGAGATTCGGGCATGGTTGCCGCCTCAGAGAGGAAACTATTGAGCAGGCCCGCAGAGAGAGGCGGCCTGGAATCGTCTCCTTTCTGGTTTCCCCAACACCAGACGGGTTGTGTAGGGCAGAGGTGTGGTCAGCCCCTTTGCAAATGGGAAAGCAGAGGTTCCAAGTCACCCTGAAACTTGGTCACTGCAGCCCAAGGGAAGCACCCCTTTGGAAATTGAACACAGCTGGTATCTCTCGGCCAGAGGGTCAGAGGCCAAGGAGGTTGGTGAGGAGGTAGTCCCCTAATGCGCTGGGATCGTCCTCTGCGCAGCGTCATTCCCAGTGGAGTCTGTGTGAGCCGAGGTGAGTCTGACTTCGGCCTTCGTCCCTGCGCACGTCAGCCCTCAGGGCTGCAGAGACACACACCAGGCGCCCGGGGGAGCTAGGGGACCTACCCAATCCAGCCCACCCGAGGAAGGAAGGGTGCTTGGCCGGTGTGACCTGGAGGGGTAGGACAGCCCAGCCAAGCTGAGGGACTTGCCAGGGACGGGGTGGGCATCAGGCAGCGGCCGCTGGACTCTGGCTTCTGGAGTTCTGATTTGGTCTCTGGTCGCCTGCAGCCTTCCACAGCTCATAGCTATTTTGGGGCTTCCTGATCACTCAGCAGGGACCTTGGGGAGGGACTTTGATGTGTTGGAAGTACCTTCCCGGAGGGGATTTTTGTGAGGATTAAGTGAAATAATGCACGTAACATGCTTAACCCTGAGCCTGGTGAGGGCTAAGCACTCGGCGGCCCTTCCAGTTTTGTTTGCTGTTTTTTCCTATTACCGGTCTCTTCCTGGAGGAGGGCCTTCCAGGAATCACAGGGCTAGACAGAGCCAAGGGTGGCCCCTCTGGAGGGAGAGGAGGCTTGGAGTCTGCAGGATGGTCCCTGCCGGCCCTGTGACCTCGTCTGTCCCCCTAGCCCCATCGCTCCTTCCGCTGCTGTCTGACTTCACCCATTCCACCTGGAGCTGCTCCTCAGGACTGGACCTCTGCCCCTAGGTATTTGCACAGCTGGCTTCTTTAGGCTGGAGTGAGGTCACTTCCTCCCAAGGCCTTCCCTGACCTCCACTGTCACCCCAGCCCCAGCCCTGTCGGGCACACCAGTCTTTTTCTTCACCACGTTTAGCACTGGCTCTCAGAAAAGAGCTTGTTAATGTTCTAGTCTCACTGGGAAGAAGTGTGCATTCCTGAAGGGCCTGGTCCCCAGCTCCCTGCTGTAACCGCGCAGAATGTCTGGCACACAGTAGGTCTCATAAATACTTGGAAAATGAAATCAGCTAGGCTTGGAAGCAGGGTGGGTCTTCGTGGGGCCCAGGTCCTTGCGGGGAAGGAGGACCCCGATCTGGAAGTCAAGGGAAAGTCCAAAGGGCTGAACTGCCCCCAGAACTCTAATTCCCTTAGCGACGCTGGCCCTGCATGTCCCTGAGCAGTTGGTGTAGCGCTCCAGCCCCTGCTGTTGATCACGTATCACACCTGGGCTGCCACCTACAGAACCTGGCTTCACAGCTTCCGCAGGCATGTGGTGGCTCTCAGGATGTGGCTTCCAAGCCACCGTGCTCCTGTGAGCACCTCCAGCCCCCCTCCAGGCAGCGGGGTTACTGAGCCTGAAAGCCCCCACGCCTCTGAACCCTCAAAGGACATGGGTCTGTCTGTTCGTTGCCTGGTCTCCCAGTTTTACTGACCCTGTGCCGCCAGCCTCCCATCTACCAGCAGCCCTATCTGGGGCCAGCACAGACACTATCTGGGGCCCAGAGGCTGCCAGGAAGCTCTTTCGCCAACATCTTCCCAAGGCAGGCCGACCCCAAATGAGTAGGGATGGGGCTCAGCTTTCTCCTCCCCTGTGCTAAGCAAGGGAGGTTCATTTCCCTGGTGAGAATGATAAAAGAGGATTCCCAGCTGGGCTCAGTGGCTCAGACCTGTGATCCCAGCACTTCGGGAGGCTGAGGAGGGAGGAGTGCTTGAGGCCAGGAGTTCAAGACCTATCTAAGCAACATAGTGAACCCTTGCCTCTTCAACAAATTAAAAAATTAGCCAGGCATGCTAGTGCATGCCTGTGGTCCCAGCTACTTGGGAGGGGGAGGTGGGAGGCTTTCTTGAGCGCTGGAGTTCGAGGCTGCAGTGAGCCCTGATTGCGCTGCTGCGCTTCAGCCTGGGCAACAAAGCAAGACAAAAACAATGTCTCAAAAAAAAATAAAAAAGCATTTCCCATCTAACTCTGGGCTGCTGTATTTGTCAAGAAAAACCTACAGGCCAGGTCAAAGTAGGGTGTGAAGTTATGGTCACGAAGAGAGGGTGAGCGTGCTGGGGCAGCCCCCAGGAGGATGTTGTCTGTCCTGCCCCTTGCCCAACCTGGGACCCTCAGCAGATTCACAAAGTGGGGTGCATGTGAGCCCCTGGCTGCCCCAGTGTGGGGTCAGCTCTGAGCCCAGCCCTTTCATCGCCACCTCTCACCCTTCCTGGTTCACATTTTGCCACCAGCAGCTGGACGTTGGCCATAAGGGCCCAGAGGAGGTCTGTGAGTCAGCTGCGGGGAGGGTAGCAGAGCCGCAACAGGGTCCCCCATGTTGGGTCTAGGGTAGATTGGCCACCCCTGCCTGCAGCTCTCCTCTGCCTGGTGCTGCTCCTTGCCTTCCTTCATGCTGTCTGTTTGGCTGGCCCCAGTCTCTCGAGCTCAGCGAGCTTCCAGGGTTGATGGGGGGCTACCTGCTGTATGGGCACAAAGCCCACCTGCCTCAGCTCTTGAACATGTGAGGCTCTGGTCTACAGTCTCAGGATTGGGTTTTCGTCCTGTTTTGCCAGTGGCCTGACTTCTCAGCACATGTGGTCTTGCTTCTTCGGGGCTCCTGACATCCCCGACAGGTGCCCAGGCCCAGGCATGCGGTCACCCTGCCAGGCCCAGCCAGGTGTCCCATCCTGAGACCTGCTCAGCGGCCCCCAGACCACAGAGCCCAGGACTTGATCTAGACACTAGCCTGTAATTCTTTTCTTTTTGGGGACTTTAAAATTAGAAGAAGAAACACGTTCCCATTTCTTGAAATTGACAGGTATTGGGATTTCAGTCATGTTTTCTACTGCCTTTTTCTAATTAAAAAAATGAAACATTGTAGACAAAGGTGAAATCCAATCTGAGTCCCCCATTCCTGGTTGCATCTAGGTCCTCCCCCTAGGCCACCTTCTCCCCATCTTTTTTTTTTTAACCATGCTAACTACTTTCAAGTGTACAATTCATTAGTGTGAAATATATTCCCATTGTTGTGAAACAGATCTCTAAAACTTTTTTTCCCCTGAGACAGAGTCTAACTGCGACACCCAGTCTGGAGTGCAGTGGCATGATCTCGGCTCACTGCAACCTCCACTTCCCAAGTTTAAGCGATTCTCCTGCCTCAGCTTCTGGACTAGCTGGGACTTCAGGTATGCGCCACCATCCCCAGCTAATTTTTGTATTTTTAGTAGAGACGGGGTTTTACCATATTGGCCAGGCTGGTCTTGAACTCCTGATCTCAAGTCATCCGCCCACCTCAGCCTCCCAAAGGACTGGGATTAAAGGTGTGAGCCACCATGCCTGGCCTCTAAAACTGTTTAATCATTTAAAACTGAAACTCCATACCCAGACAACCTCCCCCTTTCCCTTTCAACAGCCCCTGTCAACCACCATTCTATTTGACCACTTTGGGTATCTCGTAGCAGTCATTACAGTACTTGTCATTTTGTGACGGGCTTGCTTCACTTAGCATGATGTCCTCAGGGCTCATTTGTGTTGTAGCATGAGTCAGAATTTCCTTCCTTTTCGAGACTGAATAGTATTCCATGGTACGTCTGTTACCCATTTTGTTCATCCGTTCTCCCACTGATAGACGTTTGAGTTACTTCCACCTCTTGGCTATTGTGAATGATGCTGTATGAACATGGGAAAGCAGATATTGACTTTAGTCCCTGCTTTCAATCTGGATATATATCCAGAAGTAGCATTGCTGGATCAGATGGTAGTTCTGTTTTTAACTTTTGAAGGAGCTTCTGTACTGTTTTCCATAGAGGCTGCACCAGGTCGCAGTCTCATCAGCAGTGCACATGTTCCAGGTTTTCTGCATCCTCACCAACGCTTGTTATTTATTTTCTGTTTTGTTTTCTCCCCCCTCTTTTCTTTCTTTCTTTCTTTTTTTTTTTTGAGATGGAGTCTCACTCTGTCACCCAGGCTGGCTGAAATGCAATTGCGCAATCTCAGCTCACTGCAACCTCCACCTCCCAGGTTCAAGCGATTCTTCTGCCTCAGCCTCCCGAGTAGCTGGGATTACAGACACTCACCACCACACACGGCTAATTTTTGTATTTTTAGTAGAGATGAGGTTTCACCATATTGGCCAGGCTGGTCTCAAACTCCTGACCTCAGGTGATCCGCCCGCCTCAGCCTCCCAAAGTGCTGGGATAACAGGCATGAGACACTACCTGGCCTTCCTCTTATTTTTATTCAAAGATCTAGTTCTTGAACACTTCCAGAATGTTATATAATTCCTGTATAAGTGGTATCACTTTACATACAAGATTCTACAGGTTGCAATTTTCCACTCAGTGTTTGTTGTTTGCTGTCAGACCACACTGATCAATATCTCTCATTGCGTGAGGAGCCCTGGGTTTTTATCCTTTTCCTTGCTGGTAGGCATTTTGGTTGTCTCTGCTGTGCATTTACTGCTGTTTGTGGAATGCAGTTCTGGTTTTGTCAAACTGCTCATTGGCCAGGTACTCAGTGATCAGTCATGGTGGGACAGGCCAGGGCTGTCACTGATAATCCCCTAGGTTTGCAGTATACAGCCAAGATCAGCAACCTAAAAATAGCAGTTCTTACATAAGGTGGTGTGGGCAGCACTTCTCAGGACACTTGTGATCTGCAGGGACAAGTGGCACGGGACTCGACAGGCACAGCCTCCCCTCTTGTGCAATGCATCCAGCCCCTGCACTGGGGCCCTACTCTGGCTTGCTACAGGTGCCCAGGCTCAGAACGGCAGCTCGGTGACCCAGAAACACGGTGGGTGTGATCAGCTCAGGCCCAGGCGTGCTGTGCGTGCCTGAACACCTGTGTGCAAGTGGTGGTGGTGGGACCAGCTCTCACCTCTTCCTCTGCAGAGGTAAGAGCTGAGTCATGCACGGTGGGCCTTGGGAGCTGCTTGGAACCATGCCAAGCTGCTTATGAAGCACCTAGTGTGTGCTTGGCATGGCTCCAAGAATTCTAGACACAGTGAACAAGAAGAGGCGCCTTTCTTCATGGAAATAAGAATTGAGTGCTGGAAACAGAAAACGCAAGCAATGACTAGGCGAGAAAATAGCAGATCCTGTTAAATCCCATTAAGAAAAACAAAATAGGGTGGAATCCCAGAGAAGGGGTCAGCAGACCCTTCCTACAAAGGGCCAGATGGTGAATATTTTAGGCTTTGTCACCATGTAGTCCCTGTTACCAACATGCAGCTCTGCTATTGCAGTGTGGAAGCCACCAGAGACGATAATTAATGAATGTAGCTGTGTCCCCATAAATCTTTTTTTTTTTTTTTTTTTGTGAGGTGGAGTCTCACTTTATTGCCCAGGCTGGAGTGCAGTGGCGTGATCTCTGCTCACTGCAACCTCTGCTGCCCAGGTTCAAGCAATTCTGCTGCCTCAGCCTCCCAACTAGCTGGAATTACAGGCTCCTGCCACTGTGCCCAGCTAATTTTTGTAGTTTTAGTAGAGATGGGGTTTCACCATCTTGGCCAGGCTGGTCTTGAACTTCTGATCTTGTGATCCACCTGCCTCCGCTTTCCAAAGTGCTGGGATTACAGGTGTGAGCCATAAATCTTTGCAAAAGCAAGCTGAGGGCCGGATTTGACTTTCAGACCATAGATTGTCAATACCTGTCCTGGGTGTGGGAGAGGCTGCCTGAGCTGGGGTTGTCCTGGAGAACCTTCTGGAAGGCAGATGGGAACTGAGAACCCATTGCAAGAAGGAGCTGACCCTGAGACAGCCTGTCTCAGGTGGGACACAGTGGCACCTTGTCGTTGATATGGTGGCGGAGCCGTGTGCTGAGAAGCAGGCAAGCTAGATTGGAGAGGTAACGATGATGAGGTTTGCTCATGGCTTGAATGTTGGAGGTACAGGGACAGGGAGATTCAAGGATGCATCCTAGATCTGGGGTTTGAACTCCTGGGTGAATGGTGGTGTCACTGAAGGAGAGGAAGAGGTGCAGGTCTGCGGGGACTGGGCTTGGTGTTGGATGTGTTGCATTTGAGGAGCTTATTAGACAAGCAGGTAAACATCTATGCTGAGAGCCCTCCTAGAGCTTGGAGAGGCCAGGACTGGAGGCTTGGACTAGGGAGGCTGTGGCACTGAGGGGGTCTTCAAGGTTGTGAGTCTGGTGGGCTGGTGTGTGGATCAAGCAGGGGGCGCTTGGCATGAGCTCTGAGTTAGTGCATAGGGCACCAACAGAGGGGTCTGTGTGCCTCACACTCCACGCAGGAGGGCAGCATAATGCAGGCTCTGGGGCCCCTCCCTCCTAGCATTGCCTCAGTTCCCCTCCTGTAAAGTGGGGATTCTGCATCCTGGGGTCGGGCAGGGACTAGTGAGACAGTCATGCTTGGCTGACAGCAAGTACTCGGCGCCCGTGCCTGTGATGTTGGTGGTGACTGCTGCATTCACTGGGTGGGTACATGGGTTGCAGAGCCTTTGATGTCTTGGTTTGGTGGATGGCAGAGTCAAGAATGGGTTGGGGGTGGAGACCCAAGTCTCCTGGCGTGGACTGTTCTGATGCCCCATCGAGGCCTGTTCCACCCTGTTGTTCAAGGCTCCCTAGTGGGGCTGAACCTCGATCCCCATAGTGGTCACCTGCTCAGTAGCACTTTGTTTTTCTGAAGCAATAGAATCCACTCCGTCACTTAGCTGGAGTGTAGTGGCGTGATCATAGCTCACTGCAGCCTCAAACTCCTGGGCTCGGCCTCCTCCTGCTTCAGCTTCCCAAGGTACTAGATAGAACCACAGGTGTGAGCTGCTGCCCCCAGCCTAAGTAGCACACTTTATCCCTCCCTTCCCATCCCTGTCCTGCCTCCACCTGTCCTTTACTGAGGAATCCCCTTTCCCTTCCTGAAGTTCCCCTTACTCAAGTCTAAGTGTCTGCTTCTGGGGTGATACCTGTCAATGCTGGTCAGGCCTGCAGGGCACCGTGGGTAGTCAGTGGGCTGTCTGGTGTGGTGGGTTAGTGAGTTGGGGTGGGCAGCATGGTTCTGACGGCCCCACGCCTGCCTGGACGTGCTCCTTGTCTGTCTCCTCCTGCAGCGGGCTGGAGACGATGGTGGACCACTTGGCCAACACAGAGATCAACAGCCAGCGCATCGCAGCTGTGGAGAGCTGCTTCGGGGCCTCGGGGCAGCCGCTGGCACTGCTGGGCCGAGTGCTGCTGGGCGAGGGCGTGCTGACCAAGGAGTGCCGCAAGAAGGCCAAGCCACGAATCTTCTTCCTCTTCAATGACATCCTGGTGTACGGCAGCATCGTGCTCAACAAGCGCAAGTACCGCAGCCAGCACATCATCCCCCTGGAGGAGGTGACGCTGGAGCTGCTGCCCGAGACGCTGCAGGCCAAGAACCGCTGGATGATCAAGACGGCCAAGAAGTCCTTTGTCGTGTCGGCCGCCTCCGCCACGGAGCGCCAGGAGTGGATCAGCCACATCGAGGAGTGCGTGCGGCGGCAGCTGCGGGCCACGGGCCGCTCGCCCAGCACAGAGCACGCGGCGCCCTGGATCCCCGACAAGGCCACGGACATCTGCATGCGCTGCACGCAGACGCGCTTCTCCGCCCTCACGCGGCGCCACCACTGCCGCAAGTGCGGCTTTGTGGTGTGTGCTGAGTGCTCGCGCCAGCGCTTCCTGCTCCCGCGCCTGTCCCCCAAGCCCGTGCGCGTCTGCAGCCTCTGCTACCGTGAGCTGGCCGCCCAGCAGCGGCAGGAGGAGGCGGAGGAGCAGGGCGCGGGGTCCCCGGGGCAGCCGGCTCACCTGGCCCGGGCCATCTGCGGAGCATCCAGCGGAGACGACGATGACTCCGACGAGGACAAGGAGGGCAGCGGGGACGGCGACTGGTCCAGCCGCGTGGAGTTCTACAGCTCAGGTGTGGCCTGGTCTGCCTTCCACAGCTGACCTCCGACCTGCAGAGAGTCTGTCCCTTGGCCAGCTCCACTGCCCAGGACTCTGAGCGGGCACAGGGGTGGGGAGTGGCTCTTTCTGGACTCCCAGTGCCTTTTTGCTGGACACCGTGTCTTTCTGGCTCCACTGCAGGTAATGCCTTTCCCTTCAGAAAGCCCCAGAGCACCCAGACGGCTTGGGAACAAACGCCACTTCCTGGCTCTGCAGGCTGCAGCGGCAGCTCCAGACAGCCTCCTGAGCTGCACGATCCCAGGTCCCTAGGCATCTAGAGATCACAGTGGGGTTCAGAGCACAGAAGCAAGACAGGACAGGAGTGTAGCCTTGAGCCACAGAAGCCACCTCCACCATGACAAGCACACCCCACTGAAGAGCCTGAGTCCCAGGAGGCTTCCGGGAAGCCCAGGCCTGCCAATCAGACATGTGAGCTCCCCAAAGCCCAGCCAGAAACTGCTGTGCTGTGGCTGTCACCAGGCCCAGGGACTGCAGCCTGAGCTCCTGGAGGCCCAGGGCAGCCAGCTGAGGACTCTGGCCTACGTCACCTCTCTCCAGGTGTCTCGTGCCTTATTGTCCTATCCTCAGCTCTCCCCGAGGCCAGTGAATCCCGTGTTTTCTGTTAGGACTCAGTTGCAAGAACAGAACCATTCCCACACTTAATAATAAAAAAGAAAGTTATGGACTCAGGTGGTTACAAAGCCCAGGCGTGTCCTTGCTTCAGACATGGTTCTGTCCGTGGTTGTGAACATTCTGGATGGCAAAAATATACCACTGTCCCCCACTCTGGGCGTTCCTGGGTATGCTGCCTGCCCGGCGGAGACAGACGGTCATGCCGAGCCTTGGCTGGGCCCCCCAGGTCACAGGTATGTCCGGGTGCTGTGACCATGGCCTGGTGCCTGCTGCCCTATTCACTTTGGTGTGGGGGATCTCAGTGGATGGAATTGAAGACACAAACAGCCATTTGTATGGCTCTGCTGGGCCTCCCAGGCTGACAGCTCTCCCTTGTAGTCTTGTCTGGCCCTGGGCTAGTGCTGTGGAGAGGGAAACTGGGCCCCAGGTGCACCAGCCCTGCTCAGAGTGAGTGTACATGGGGCCTGGGGCTTGAGACGGGCCTCTCGACACCTGGTCCCACACTGGCCATGGAGCTGGGGGTCCTTTAACAGTGTCCCGTGGGCGCTTCTGCACTCGTCTTTCCCAGCCCCTAGTTGACCTTGGCCTAACTGGGGCATAGACTGGGGTTGCTGTCAGCTAGAAGTTTTGACTGTGGGGCTGGGAGCCCCCTGCTCACACAGCACAGCATCTGAAACCTCACCAGCATATCCTCTCCCCAGCCTAGCACTGTTCTCCTGGGGCCAGTTCTCGGGGGATCACAGGCAGACAGAACCCTGGAGGGTGCAGATTCTGATTCGGCAGGTCGAGGCCCAGCTCCCAGGGCCTGCCCACCACCACCACCCACAGACCACCCTTGAGGTGACAAGGCCTGCTGGTGGCCTGTGGGCTTCCTGCGAGGGAGGTGGGAGGGGTCAGTATATATTTTTTTTCCCCCGCAGAGTCTCACTCTGTCACCCAGGCTGGAATGCTGTAACGCTATCTCAGCTTACAGCAATCTCCGCCTCCCGAGTTCAAGCGACCCTCCTGCCTCGGCCTCCCAAGTCATTGGGATTACAGGCATGTCCCACCATGCCTGGCTAATTTTTGTATTTTTAGTAGAGACAAGGTTTCACCATGTTGGCCAGGCTGGTCTTGAACTCCTGACCTCAGGCGAGTCACCCGCCTTGGCCACCTGCCGTGCTCGGCAGAATGGCCGGTGTGTGAGGCCCAGCGGCCTTCCAGGAAGGACCTATTTGTTTACAGGCCCTTTCTCTTCCTTGGCCTCCCTGAACCACACGAACTGGTTTAGGCTGGTTCTGCCTGGGCAGAGGGCACAGGGTGAGGCAGTTCATGGGGCTGGGGGTGACTTCCTGAACAGCTCTAGTGCCCTCTCTGAAACCCAGGCTGGGCAACCCCATCCCTGCACCCCGGGAGTAAAGCCAGGGCAGGGTGTGCTGGCTGCCATTGCTCACCTCTTCTTACAGCCCACTCCTCTGCCCAGAAACCTTCGGATCCTAAAAGGCAGCGTTCACTGGGATGGGAGAAGGGACCACGTGCAGCTGAGCCCGGCCACACCAGCCTGCCAAGGGGGTCCGCTCACAGGACCCCAGGCTTACTGAGTACGGTGTCATCCTCTCCAGGGCATAGCAGGCAGTGGTGGCATCCTCTTCAGGGCATAGCAGCAGCCCCTGGGGTCTGGGGCTGAGTAGGTGCTTCTCGGCCTTCAGCCCTACAAGGCTGGGACAGAGCTCCAAGGTGTTATGGCCTGGAAGGACCCATGGCTGGGGGTGTCTCAGGACCTTTGCAGAGCCCCCATCCTGCAGCCTTGCTCCCACCCTGGCTGGGCCGTGCCAGTTGCTGGGGACACCACTGGGAGTGAAATGAACAAGGTCCTGGCTCTGGGGCCTGCACACATGGTCGGGGAGACACTGGCACAGAAGCCAGGATGCAGCTTGCTGTGATGGGGGCGGGCTGAGAATGAGTGTGCGATGCCTGCCGGGCGGGGAGAGGACATTTCAGTAGAAGGAGCAACAGCCAGCACAAAGGCAGGAAAGGGACCCTTGTGACCCGTGCAGTGTGGCTGCAGCTGGGCTCCCAGACACACGGGGCAGCCACCTCGGGTGTGCGGGAGTTGTGGAAGCCTTCGGCGTGCAGTGTGGCTGCTCTCGGCTTTTGAGAGCTTGCCCTGACTGCTGTGTGTGGGTGGCTGGCGTGGGGAGAGGGGGTCGGGCAGGCATGGGGGCTGGCAGCTCTCTGCTCCCCTGGGATCTCCAAGGGAGGAGCTGGGCTTCACTAAGGCCACATCTACCGCCGATCCTTGTTTACAGGCCCTTTCTCTCCTTGCCTCTGACTGTGGACTGGAAGCCTTAGCTGTGCTCCTTCCCGTCCTCAGCTCCTTCCAAGAGACAGGCCCCTCCCCTGTTCTGCTGAGATTTTTATTTGTTTGTGTTTTTGAGACAGAGTCTTGCTTTGTCACACAGTCTGGAGTGTCACAGTGGCACAGTCACAGCTCACAGCAGCCTCGACCTCCCAGGCTCAAGCCATCCTCCCACCTCAGCCTCCCAAGTAGCTGAGACCACAGGCACACACCACGGCACCTAGCTAATTTCTCATTTATTTATTTACTTGTAGAGACAGGATCTCCCTATGTTGCCCAAGCTGGTCTCAAACTTCTGGGCTCAAGTGATCCTTTCGCTTCAGCCTCCCAAAGTGCTGGGATTACAGGCAGGAGCCACTGCACCTGGCCGACGCTGGGGTGTTCAATAGACACAAGTCTCAGCTTCCTAGCTGATGGCTGAGGGGGTGCCAGGAAACTGAATGCCCCCCAGGGTGCTTGGGGCCAGGGTGAGTTTGAATGAGGCTGCCCCTGGCCACTGAGGCACAGAGGGGAGTGCGCTGGGAGAGAGCAGAGCCACCCCAAAATGGAAGGTGCTTGCCTGGCTGGTGGGCCTGGGAAAGGAAGGCGCTGCCCTGTCTCTGGCTCCTGACAGATTTATTTTCCACCAGAGATGGCCTCCGGGACCAGGATCAGGTCGAGAGGTGAAGCAACTGCCTCCCCTGCCTTGCCGCAGGGCCGCTGCCAGTCCCCTCCTTGGGTGGGGAAGCTCGTTGGAGGCTCTGGGAGTTTCCCTGAGTCCCGGCCATGCAGCTGAGCTAGCTTTGCTCATGACCTCTGTCCCCACTCCTGAGAAGGTCAGGAGGTCTCAGGCCAGGCTCCATCCCTCTGTTGTTTACAGATACTCCCCTTCCCCAGAACTGAGCTTGAGGTCTGGCAGGATCACAGGGCTGCTGGGCCGGGGTCCAGCCTCAGACTCCTGCCTGGGGCTTTGCTTGCAAGGCCTGGCAAGGATACAGGAACCAACTGTCCTGCCAGCTGAGTGCTTCCATCCACCTCTCACAGCTTCCTCCCAGCTGTGCCTGGACTCCACGTCCCTGCCAGAAGCCGGTACAGCAAACAGGCAACATAGGATGCCTGGGAGGTGCCTGCCTCTTCCTAGGAGACAAAGAGGGGCAAGCAGAGGGTCCGAGGACAGGCCCATGTGTTTGAGGGGCATCAGAACCCCACCACCCCACCCACAGGGGCAGGACCCATACCACTCTTGCAGGAACCAGCTCGGAGTAGAGCAGCTCGGGCTGGCAAGTGCAGTCACAGCCATGACCTCAGGGCACTTTGGGACTGATGACAGCCAGCTCTTTTCTTTCTTTTCTTTTTTTTTTTTTTTTTTTGAGACAGAGTCTTGCTCTTGTCACCCAGGCTGAAGTGCGGTGGTGTGCTCTTGGCTCACTGTAACCTCTGCCTCCCAGGTTCTCAGTGATTCTCCTGCCCCAGCCTCCCAAGTAGCTGGGATTACAGGCATGCGCCACTACACCTGGATAATTAATATTTTGTACTATTAGTACAGATGGGGTTTCGTCATGTTGGCCAGGCTGGTCTCGAACTCCTGACCTCAGATAATTCACCCGCCTTGGCCTCCCAAAGTGCTGGGATTATAGGTGTGAGCCACTGCCAGCCCTCCCTTTAGAGCTCTGCAGGGTGCAGTGTTCCCACAGGACCCAGATGCTACAGACACTAAGGAGGTTTTTCACAAAGGTCAAGTGGGCCCTACCTGTGAGTTTTGGTGGTTGGGATTTTTAGATGCCAAGTTTTCTTAAAGACAGGCCCACCATCATATGTGCTGTTAACATTGGGTGTTGCCTGTCAGAGGCCAGGGAGCCAGGCGGGAGGTTCACAGGACCCCAGGAATCTTGCACCTCCTTGATGATGGTGGGATGCAGGGGTGCTGATGGTGGCAGTGACTGCCACTTACTGAGGCCCATCTGTGCGCTAGTTTCAAGGAGGCAGAGACCAGGTCACTTGAGGCCATCCTAAGGCTAAAGGAGATGTGTCATGAGCCCAGAGAGGGGGGTTGACAAAGCCAGAGAAAGGAACTACTAGAACAGCTGGGAAGGTTTCCTGGAGGAGGTGGTGTTTGGTTGAGCCTCAGAGGATGATAGGACTTTATCAGAGGATTGTAGTCTCCACGAGGACTGGGACTCTGAGCCTTTTGGTAACTGTCTTTCCCTGTCCTTAGCATTAACCATTTGTTGAATGAATAAGTGAGTCAGGAGGAAATGGGGCTGGGGGTGGGGGGCATCGGGGCAGAGAGGATGATAATGAAAGCAACTGAATTTCACCCTGGAGCCTCTGGGCCAGGCTCTGGATAGGAACTGGTGTTTCTGGCATATTTCTACAGAAGCAGGGACAGCTGGAGGACTCCGTCTGGCCCAGGCATCAGGGATCAGTCCCCCTCCCAGACACTAAATGTGAGTGGCCCTCTCGGGTGGGGACAAGAATGCCCACCCCACCCCACCCAAGTGGCACTTTCTGGAGCCGGGTCTGACTTGATCGCAGGCTGAGCTCCAGACTTCCGTGAGGCTCTCGTCCAGGCTGGCATCACAGGGTTTACGCCAGCCTGGCCACTTCCCCACCCAGCCTGTTCTTTGATCAAGGCAAGAAAGAGGCCTAGGGGAAGGGAGAGCTGCTCCTGGGCTCAGCCCCTGGGATGAGGCCTGGAGGTGCTTCGAAGACTGACCCAGTTCCCAGCCAGGATCCTCT